ATACTTCCTCCCGGTAAAATCGAGAAAGATGCGCGTCTTTTCTTTTCATTCAATTTATATGCCGCGTTTATTTTACACTTTCCTTCAATTTTTCACTCGCGTTCCATGATAGTTTAGTTTTCTAAATTCGCGGTTTCTCCCTCTCTAAATAAAACGCGTTTCATACAGTTTTCGCGTCGCCCATTCCACAGTGACTCACAATTTGTGAGTCTGTGAGTCTTGGAAAATCAAAGTCGAGAAACTGGAATGATTGGTGGAAGGATGACAATCTGAGAGGAAGGAAGGAAGGAAGGAAGGAGGAAACGCAGCCAAATCCACGTTCCAGAGCCCAGCTGCCTAATCTGCGAATTGTGAGTGAATTTTTTTGGGTTTGGTGATTGGTTATTATATATGTTGCATGCATGTTTGGAGCTGAACTATCAAGACTTCAAAGAAGAACTGGATGGATGTGAGTTCAAATCCGAACTCTACTGCACCAAAGGTGCAAACGCCCTCCCATTATTAGAGTATCCCAATAGTATACCGCGTTAATTCAATTTAGAATCAATTTTCGCTACGAATGCCCATTATTTTCGATCGACACGAGAATTTATTACGTCGCGCCGCGTTTGATAATAGCTTCATCCCTTTTTCTTTCTTTGCTTTTCTTTTCTTGAGAGCGTTCAGTTGATACCTCCCTTAAACTTTTGCTAAATATCCCATCTAAAATGGACTACTGAATCAAACGGAGGATGGTAAAAATTCGCGGTTTCAAGTACTAAATAAAATTCAACGAATTAAACTACACTTGAAAGAAATCGTGGTCCGTACACAATTTCGCGCGACACTTCGACAGCTTCCCAAGTCTGGTCGGTCTTGGTCCTTGGCTTTGGGTCTCTGAAAATCTGCGATTGTGGCCACTGGTGGGATGAAAATTGAAGGCTGAGGGGAATCCAATGGTTCACGGAAGGAATTCCAAAAGTTTCATGGGTCTGAGAGGAGCTTCCAAGTCCAAATCGCAGTTGTGGGTCAAAATTGAAGGCTGGGAGGACTGAAATGGGTCACTGAGGAATTCTAAAAGCTCGCAAATTTATGTTCTATTTTTGCAGCAAATATCTCAATTTATTAATTCCCATAGAAATAATAGAATTATCACACAGCGTTTGATAATAGGGATTGCAATTTTTCTTTCGTTTCATACTTCTCTCGCAATTTCTGCCGAGTATCCCATCGAAATTTTTAATAAATGATATAAATTTCAGGCTTTCCTTACTAAATAAAATGAAAATAAATTTCGTGGGCGTTCTTGATCACAATGATCGGTTCTCAAAGTCTATTCTTGTCAATACTAATGAGATTAAAAGTATCGAGAATACTGAGATGGTTCTAGGTAGGGACTAGTGAGTTGTACGTTCTTTCGATGACGAATTAAATATTCTTTGCATGAATATTTCGTGTTCGTATATGTGCTCAATTCTCTCCAATTCGAAAGAGAATTTTGTTTAATTATGAGTCCCATCATCAGAGATTTAAATGTGAATTCCATTGCTATGATTTTATAACTGTACGTGCTCTGTGACCGCGAATTCCACTGTACTCCTTCTGAATATCGACAAATAGTAACTCCTTCTTATGTCTAACCAAATGTATTAATTTCCAACAAGCACAGATTTATATATTACTTCAGCTACAGTAATACTTTTCCTAAAGCATTCACAAACATCACGTCGAACTTTATCCAAAATACAAAACTAGAAATTAGGTAAATTCACATGAGACTCTTGATAAGTTTTAAATAATTCGTAAAATTTCAAAAAAACGCTGTCATTTTCAGAAATTATATTAGTAAAGGAACATTCGAAAGTAATTGCTAATTTTGACGATACCTTGGTATATATTAGTTCTCAAGGAAATATTCCACAGCTACTTTTCTACCTCAAAAACTATCGGAAATAAAGGAACGATGCAAATCGATGCAATCGAAATTTACCTCTTGGTTGTATGTTAGCTTTAAATAATTGTAAGATAGAAAATTGTACCAAATATGAAGTGAGCGCGAGCGAGAATTTTAACTTTAGGTAGTTTGTAAGATAAAATAAGTTATCATAAAACAATAGGAAATATCGAAGATATCGTGGGATGCGTGCGTTTTAATTTTACAATAATTTTAAGATAGAAAATTATACCGAAAATTGTGCGCGCTTTCTTGCAGAGATACGCGACTCATTTGTAGCATAATTAATAAAATACTTTCTGCATTTGTATTATCGTCGATATCAAATATAGAACAATAATGTTCTCGCGAATGTTTCGATTGAAAGTAAAATCGAATTTTTGATAAACTGTCCTATTTCTTTTGCTACAAATGAGAAACGCGTATCTCTGAAGATAGAGAGCTGCCAGTAGGGCATGTGTTTTTGTCGGGTCCCTTGCGTAGTCACCTCCTCGTGGTGGGACCTGGTAATTGGTATCCTTTTCCAAAGAAAAATCTCACTTTTGCAAAAAGATACCAAGCTAAGGGCTACGCGTACCCGCGGTCACTCTGATTCTCACGAATACAAAGTGAACTGCGGGTATTATAGCTATACAGGGTGTCTCAATACAGCGAAATATCTTTTAAGGAAGTGATGTTAGGGAAAAAATATTTTAATAAAAGTGTTTTGT